CCCTGGTGTCCAAGAGGAAGGAGATGGGCCGCCTTGAAACTACCGCTTGTGGTGACCACCCAGGGCTCCCTGTCAGAGATGACAATAGTTGGGTCAAGAGAGACTGGGTACCCTCAGTCATCCATGGCGAGGCCTAGAAGGTTGGCCGGAGGGTGGTATGCATCTGATGTCCCCATGCCACAAGGGGCATGAAGGAAATCAGTCATAAGGAGTTGTCTGCCCTCTTGGTTTGTGGGGTCTAGATACTGTAAGAGGGCCTTTGTGAGGCGTTCTAGGAACTGAGATGGATTTTCCTGTTTGTCCTGGATGATTTCTTGGGAGCTTTTCATAGTTAACCAGAGTTTAAGGGCCTTACAGAGACTGGCCAGGAGGCAGGTTGTAAACTGATCTCTAGCTAGAATGCCCTCTGGGGTATTCTAGTCCCATGGGCGTCCCGGGTGGGATGTCTCAGCCCTGGCCAGGAGAAAGTAGGTTGTTAGCTAGGATCATATATATATATATAAAATGAAAGGTGAGACTATATAACTGGGTGATCTATTGGAATTCTCTAATGAAAGAGGTTGAGTTACATGTAGAAGACCCCAGTTTTTTCTCTATTTGAGGAAGTTCACCTAATGAGAAGGGGACACATACCTTAACCAGTCCATTCACCCCAGCAACCTCTCGCAAAGGGAGAACTGTGGCCAGGCTGGAATGGGTAGAGAGGGATGGAGGGGGTCCCATGGTGGTGTGAGAATGTGTAACAGGAGGAGCGAAAGGGTTAGAACAGCCCGTTTCTGGAGAGGAGGAAGGGGCTGGAGGAGCTGAAGGAGCAGTTGTATGTCGAGGTCGGAATAGTGGGGGTTCATTATCAGGGTCCAGAGTAGTTGGAGGGTTCCTCTAGTTTAGATTGCATGGCTAGAAGGACCCAAGTGGGTGAACAGGAAGAAGAGAGAGAGGGTTTGGAGCTAAGGTAAGTGAAGGCCTGAACATAAGGTACCTCCTTCCACTTACCTGACTGCTGGCAGAGTTGGAAAGGTCCCTTAAAATACTGGGGTCTAAACTGCCGTCAGGTGGCCATTTTGATTGATTGTCTAAGGGGTATTTAGACCATGTCTGACTGCAAAGGCGGATATGTTTAGAGGTCCTTAAGCTGGGCGCTAAGCATAGAGGTTTGAGGTTCTCTAAAAGGTGTCCCAGAGGGGAGGTTGGGCTTATACTGCTAGGCACAGTTCCCATGAGTGAAGCAGAAAAAACGAGATCCAAAGGCCTGGAATTTTCAGCATCCCCCAAAACTCAGGAACGATTGATTTGAGGAGGCACAGGCTGCTCAGTGAGTTGTCACACTCCGGGCAGGGGCCAGGGCTCTGAGCCTGAGAGAGAGGCGTGGGTTGCCTGGTACTAGGGCTTGTCGGCAGGGCCAAGAGGTGAGAAACCACGGTCGAGAGGTGAGGCCTCACTCGTGGGGAATGGCCAGGGGTGACTATCAGCGAAGGGGGTCAACTGTAACCTTTAAGACCGTGGTTGGTTGTTCCCCTGCTTCCAAATAGGCCAGTGGGGGGCTGGACACTCAACAGTCACTCCCATGGGTCCAGGAACACATTTATGCCGACCGGGATAAAGGCAAATCACCAACTGTGCCAGCGTTGGACAAAGGGCCCAAGGGTCGGTTAATTGGAAAGTGAGGCTGTCCCAGCGTGCCTCAGAGGGCCAGGAGGGCCTGCCGAGTCTTCCGGCACCAAATCACACTGTACAACAAACTCACGTGGGAGGCTTTATTGGGAAAAGGGAAGGGGAAGGGTGCAGAGACCGGCCTCTGGAGAGGAGTGGCGGGAAAAAGAGAGAGGAAGCGGCAGAGCTCGATTTTAAAAGGTGCTTAGTGCATGTGCACAGAGGCTACACTGTGACATAGCGCATGTGCAGAGACTATGTAGTGACATAGTAGCTGCAGGACCCTGAGCTGGCCAGGTACCTGCCTGAATGTTAGCGAGCACATGAGCACAGCAGGTGCTCTTAGTGGCTACAGGTAAGGACCCTGGGGGAGGGCCAGCGTAATACCTGAATGCTAGCAAATGCATGCACATAGAGAGTAGTTGTAGTTGGTGATATATTCTGCTAGGTCCCCAAGGGAAGGCCAGCATAATGCCTGAATATTAACAGTACCAAGTAAGAGCTGTGCTTTCCTACTGTGTAGCCACTCTCCCTTTCTAGATCCTCGCAAAGCCAAAGCCAGGCTTCTCAGGATCCACCCCACACCAAGCCCGGACTCACAAGAGCCGTGAGCAACTCACAGGGACCGGTTCTAGTGCTGGCCTTTGGGGCTTCTTTTCAGGAACCATCACCTCTTGTAGTATGGAAAGGTCTGTCAAATGATTCGAGGTCAAGGAGAGCCCCTCAGAGTGTGTGGGGACATTGGTCCCCGGGGTGACATGGAAAAGACCAGTAGAGCGTCCGGCTCAGTTCTTTCCTTGGTTTTCAGATTCGAGTTCACCTTTTCTCCTCTCCTTGGAGGTCAGATGGGCTTGGGGCTGCCTTCCAGCACCTTCCCTCTGTCTACTCACGGAGTTTCTCTGTCTCCAGTAACACCTGCACTGACCATGAGATCCCCTCCAACACTGCAGATAAACACCTACCTGTTCCTTGGCTTCCTCACCCCTTGGCCCTTTGAGAAAGCATTTTTTTTTTATGGCCTCCATAGTAGACCATGCTATCTCCAAGTGCAGATGTGTGGGTACGTATGTGAGCCTATGTGGCTGAAGAGATGGGAAGTTGACATCTGTCCCTGGAATGTGGTCTCCCCTCTGAGGCCACCAAGATGGGCACCTGGGCGCCACCTCTCTGCATTTTCTGGTTCTCTTTAGTCTCAGTGATTTCCTGCTGGCTGGCACTTGACCTCCATACCCTCCGGCTCGCATGGGAAACCTTCCATCCCCAGCCCAGGCCAGCTCAGTAAGGACTTTTCATGTACCTTCTTTTACGAAGAACTTTTGTCTTATCCACTATTTTCATTGGGTTGTCACGTTTTGAATCATAGCATACATTCTGAATGCCAGTAGTTTGTCAAATTTTAAATATATGAGCTGCTGAATTGCAAATATTTTCTACCAGTCCTGGCTTGCCTTTTGTTTTTGTCTTTTGAGACAGGGTTTCTGTGGTGATATATTGTGTACCCTAATAAAATTTGCCTGAAGATCAGAGAACAGAACAAGCCACTAGATTAACATAGATGCCAGGCAGTGGTGGCACACACCTTTAATCCTAGCAGTAGGGAGGCAGAGATCCATCTGAATCTCTGTGAGTTCAAAGTCACTTTGGATTACATGAGATTGACTCAGTCTAGGAGAGAAACAGAGTCAGGCAGTGATGGCACACACCTTTAATCCCAGCACTTGAAGACCGCACGCCTTTGCTTGGGAAGCACACATGCCTTTAATCCCAGCACTAAGAAGGAAGTGATGGCTGGGCAGAGAAAGGTATATAAAGAGTGTGGAGACAGGAACTAAAACCCTTTCATCTAGAGGCCCTTTTGGCTAGAAAGCTTTTCAGGCTGAGGAGTCCTAGAGGTAAGACATGGCAGTGGCTTGTTCCTTTGTCTCTCTGATCTTTCAGCATTTACCCCAATATCTGGCTCTGTTTTTTTTTTTTTTTTTTTCTGTGTAACAGCACTGCCTGCCCTGGAACTCACTCTGTAGACCAGACTGGCCTCAAACTCACAGAGATCTGCCAAGTGCTGGGATTAGAAGCGTGCACCACCACGGCCCAGAATGTGATAGTCTTTCTAAGAACAGAAAGTTTTATTTTGATGTAGTCCAATTTATCAATTAAAATTTCATTATTCATGCTTTCTTGTGTCCAGAAATATCTTTGCTTATGCCAATATTCCAAATATTGTTTTCTTCTAAATGTTTGAAGGTTTTAGCCTCTAAATTTACTGTGTGTGTGTGTATGTGTGTGTGTGTGTGTGTGTGCATGCATGTGTGCTATGGCACATGTGTGGAAGTCAAAGGACAACTAACTCTATGATAACGGTCCTCTCCTTCTACCTTTACGTGGAGTCTGAGGATTGAACTCAGGTTGCCCGGCTTGCACAGTGAACAGCTTTACCATGTTTCTGGCTTATAGTTTACATTCTGTTGGTCAACTTCAAGTTAATTTTTAAATGTGTATGCATGTGCGTGCTGTGTGAGTATATGCCACATGTGCTGGTGCTGGTCCCCATAGAGGACAGAAGAAGGCGTCAGATCCCTGGGAAATTTCTGTTTATAAATCATCCAGTCTAGAGTATTGTGTTATAGGAGCCCAAACAAAGACACACCAGAAATGAAACATGTTTATACAACATTTGGTGTAGGAGTGTTGATATCAACCTTATTGATGGTGATCAAGAATTAGAAACAACTTGAATATCCACCCAGAGGGAATGAGTGTCCATATGTGGAAAATGTTCACAAAGGAACATGTGCTAGTATGTGTAATATGTACCTAGATCTCAAAATTTTATCTGAGGCAAAGCCAGACACAAAAGTACTATAGTGTATGGTTTATATCAAATTCTAAAACAGTTATGTCTGATACTGCCAGAAAGGACAGTGGTTGCCTAGGGTAGGCTGAGGGTCCAGGAAACATGAAGATGCCTGGTGATGATGTGAACCATCCATTGATTGTGGTGGTATTTCATGGGTGTATACATGTGTCTAAAAATGCATACTTAAAAAGGATAAATATGATTATATATTATATATCAGCAAAGTTAGTAGATCAAAATCCATGCACACAACACCACCTGTTTCTCTTCCCCTGAGTTTCTCCAAGTTTGCAATTATGTTTTTACTAGCTTCCTGTGAGTTGCTCGTCTTCATAGGCAGTGCGCACCAAGTGATCCAATGTCCTGTCCCATCGCTGACTGAATGCTAAGCATTAGCTATGCAGGAGTGAGTGGATGCAGGGTGTACCTACCACAAAGGGCAGCAAATGGCTTTGGCCCCAGTCACACCTTTACAGCTAGAGCTCAGTAGACTCCATTAGAGGTTGCTGGTCTTCCTAGGCAAGGGTGAGTCTGCACATTTCCTCAGTGATTGCTAGGATGGTCTTGTCATTGATCTCAGGAAGGAACCAATGAGTGTAGATGGCCCCACAGGCACAGAGGAAAGGAATGTAGAGGAAAAGAGACAAGCCCTTCTTTGGGTTAGAAGAGACCCCAGAGCTGGTGAGCACCACCCCCATTAGCCCTCAGTAGAAGGGAAGTCAGCTTCCCCCCTTTCTCACATAGGGTCTCTCTGTCTCTCTGGATGGAGGTCTCCCAGCACCAGAGTGTTCATGGTGACAAGAACAAAAACTAAGACGGGGCCCCCTACCTACCACAAGACTGTCCCACAGACCATGTAGGCAGCAGGCCAGGCTATCTGGTCACACAGCTCTGTTGCCAGGATCCTTGTCACTGCAGCTGCACATGGGACAAGAGAGAGGCAACAAGAGAAAGCCAGCTAGAGTTCCCTGCCCTGCCTCTCCCTGGCCTCTGCCCAGTGAGCATGGGTGTTCTCCTCCAGCCATTTCCATCCCAGAAGCCTTAGTAGGTGACTCTAGGGTCCATGGGTGATATTGCATTCACCCTTACTTTATCACTCATTCAGACATCCATTGTTCTTTCAGCAAAGCTCAAAGGCCAAAGGCCCTCAGGACCACTCATCAGAGCCCATACCAAAGCTGAGGATGAAGACGAAGATGCAGGATACGGCCAGGTAAGGCATCCTGGGAAAGGAACTCTACAGCAGATTGGGTAGGAGTGAGACAACATCCAGGCTGGATCCAGCTACTCCTTCCCCGATCCAGATACCTGTAGGCACAGGGCCAATGTGAAGATAGTTCCCCAGCAGGTCATAAGAGAGTACCCCAGCAGCAGCAGCACCCACCTTTCCAATCACCACACTCTACAAAAGGAAAAGCTCTGAGTTAAAACCCCCACACCCAGCCACTGTAGTTGAAAGTTTCTCCAATCCTGCCTAGTCCAAATGAATCTCTCCCAACCAAGCTCCTACAGCCACTTATAAAATAATTACTCAGAGGCTTATATTAATTACAAACTGTATGGCCTATGGCTTCAGCTTCTTGCTAACTAGCTCTTTCATCTTTAATTAACCCATTTCTATAAATCTATATGTTGCCACGTGGCCGTGATATTACCAGTCTGCTGGCATCTCGTTGCTCCTTTGGCAGCAGGCTCTCTACCTCCCCCAACTCTTCCCTTCTTCTCTCTGTATCTCTGCTTGGATTTCCTGACTGATTGTAAGCTTTCTTGCCATAGGCCAAAACGGCTTCATTTATTATCCAATGGGAGCCACACATATTCACAGCATACAGAAAGACATCCCACAGCAAGCCACGGTCCCTTTTGGGGACAGACAATGGGGAATCAGACCTTGTGAAACAAGACAGTCTATTGTTTCAGGAGAATTTGACTTGACTGATTTGCCTGGCAACTTTGGACAATCAGTTACCCAACTGACTTCTCATCTCAGAACAGTGGTGCGAACACCTCGCAAACATTGGTCACTCGGTAAGTGCGTTATAGCTCACTGTGTCCTACCAGAGTGGAATAGAAAATGGCTTGATGCAGATAACTCCAGGCCAAAGAGCATTAGAACCCAAGTGCCCTCCCACAGTAGGGCTGGTGGAGGGTGGGTTCACACTAACAAAAGCTGTGCACAGCTCGAAGCTCCCAGTCCCGATGGCGGCATACTGGACTTTCTTAGCCAGCATTCCTGCCCCTTGGAAGACTGAGGAGGCACAGGCATATACCTGAGTTTGAGTTAGTGGAGGGGTACCTGTGAGGCACTGGCTCCCTGACTCCAAGCTACTGAAAGTCTCACCAGCACTGGGGACAGGGCAGAGCAGGGGCCTCCCAGAGTCATTCTCACAGAGTTCCGTGGCACTGCTCAGCACCACAAGGCTGGTCACGTGCCTCTACAGGGCACAACCCTGGAGCTATTCCCATGGGCTCCATGCCTGGTAGTCCTGGCACACAGCCTGCTCCTCTTCCATCTCCTTACCCATGTCCCTCGAAAGTGCTGTAGGGCTGAGGTGAGTTGGGGAGGAGGTGCTGAGCCTCCTCCGGGCTGAGTTCTGGACTCCTCCCCTCAAGATCTCCCTATCTCCCTCCCCTGCCACCTCTCCCTTTGAGTGCTACAGACATTTCTGCTACATTTCTGAATGCAGAGAGACTTCTTGTTTCAGACCCTGGCTCTGTGTGTCAATAAAGGCATACAAAAAGCCAGGTGTGGTGGCACATGCCTTAACTTGCAGTACTCTGGAGGGTGAGACAGGTGGATTTCTGTGAGTTCCAAACCAACCAGGAATACATAGTGAAACTGTCAAAAAGAAAGAAGAGAAGGGAGAGAGGGAGGGAGACAGAGCGGAAAAGAAAAGAAAAGAAAAGAAAGGAAAACAAAGGTCTATACAGAATTAACGTCATCTTCCAATCCAGGACTTGAAGTCCCCACACTGGCTGGGTGACACTTTGGGGCTTCTGGTGGGACTGAACACACTCTGCACATGACAGAGACACACATGATAACTGGATGCTGGCAGAACTGAACACACTGCACACAGCAGAGGCATGCCTGATGACAGGATGCTGGTAAACGGGGTGGAGTACCTTCACAGGTCCACCTAATTGGATGTGTGTCTTTGACTTTCCAATTCCTACCTTTGCCCTCAGAAGCATGAGTCTCTTTGGCCAACAGTTAGTGAGCTAAAGGATCAGAAAGCACTGTGCTCCGAGTGTGGCGTCTCACACCTCTGCCACCACCACACAAGCACATTTCTAGGCTAACCGATCTGAATCACAAGGGAAAAGACAGATGTTTCTGCATCACTGACTTGCCCCAGCCCAGCCTTGACTGGCTGTGACCCCGAGTGCCATGAATAACACAGTTGACATCAGCAGATCGCACAACCAGCCCAGTAAATCAGTAAAAGATATAGTAAATGATTGTTTTGGTTTTTTGGGTTTGTTTTTTTTGTTTTTTGTTTTTGTTTTTGTTTTTTGAGACAGGGTTTCTCTGTGGGGTCCTGGCTGTCCTGGAACTCACTATGTAGACCAGGCTGGCCTTGAACTTGCAGAGATCCCTATGCCTCTGCCTCTGCCTCCCAAGTGCTAGGATTAAAAGGGTATGCCATCACACTCAGTCCAACCTTTTCTTAATAACAATAATAATAAATAGATAAACAAACAAACAAATTCAAGAAGTAAGGACCCACAGACTCCGGTGAAATGTACCTCTAGATCAAGGGTAGCTTGGGGACCCAAAGTCACCTGCCGGGCAGGCTTCAGTGTTTCCATAGTCAATGATGAGACAGTGTAGAACCAAGAGTAGAGAGGCAAGCTGGAGCACTCCAGGTACCGGGCAGCTGGCTAACATCAGGGGCCAGGCTTGTGGGCCACCCAGGAGCTCCTTAGAGAGGCAAAGACAAAACAGGCAGTGTGATACCTCCTTACCATAGTGTTACCAGCTTCCCCCAAGACTCCGGCTCACAGAGGGTCACAAAGCCCTATGCTTCTGCCTACTCAGTATCAGCATTCCTTCTACCCAGCTGGGCACTGCGGGAGGGCAGGGCCCCTGCCTTCCTCATCCGTAGTAAATCTCCTCCCCAGGGGTCCTGCTCTCTTTCTTCTTCCCCCTAGGATTATCAGGACATACTGCCTTTTAAAAGTCCACATTTTTGTTCTCCTCTCTGGTGAGACCTATTCTTGATTCCCAGTCCTGGGAGAAGGCGATTTACATGCCATGTGGTTGATTGATATCCTTTTTATATCAGACACACTGATGTATTCAGGCTTCTGATTGCTTTGTGCAAAACAAACAAATCAATGCCTTAATTCACTTGGTAGGTAGGCGAGAATTTTAGGCATAAAGAAGGTTTTATTGGGGCTGGAGAGATGCCTCAGAGGTTAATAGCACTGGCTGCTCTTCCAGAGGTCCTGAATGCAATTCCCAGCAACCACACAGTGTCTCACAACCATGTACGATGAGATCTGGTTCCCTCTTCTGGCCTGCAAGCATCCATGTAGGCAAAACACTGTATACATACATACATACATACATACATACATACATACATACATACATATATATATACACCTAAAACAAAAACAAAACCACACACACACACACACACACACACACACACACACACACACACACACACTAAGGGATCTTGCTGGAGTCTAACTACCTGTCTCTCATCTCGATCCCCAGGGATGTGTAGACAGTTGAGGTCATGGTAACAGCACTCCATAGCTCTTTGAGGGCACACCCTCCTAGGTTCATGGGCTGGATGGTCATGCGTACACCTGGACACGTGCTCAGCAAGGGACATCAGTTAGTAACAGAGATCACTGTGACACCTCCCTCGGCGCTGCTCAGTCTGGAACCTGACTGAAGGGCCACTCTCACCCCATACATTGTAAGGGGTGAACAAGACGCCCCCAGATCTGGCCCTCTGGACTTCTGTGAGGAAAGCATCTCTCAAATTGGCTCCCATCACAGCCCTCCACTGTAGCCCCATATGTTCATGTGATCTCTCTAGGTGTGGAGGTCTCTGCAATGGATTGAATATCCCCCAAAGGTACTTGTGTTAAAGACTTGGTCGCCAGGGAATTGCTAGTGAGAGGTGCCATGGTAGAGGCAGAGCCTTTGGGGGAGGTCTTTTAGTTCACAGCAGGTATGCCCTTTAAGGGGATTGTGAAACCCCAGTCTCCTCTTCTCCCTATTTGCTCCTGGTTTGTTAATGGAGTGGTTTTCTTCACACCCTCCCACTGCACCATGATGCTCTTGTACTCCATCTGGGACAGAAACCTCCAGAAGTAGTAGTGGAACTTTTTATAAGCTAATTGAGGTAAGTATTTCTCTAAAGCAACAGGATGCTGACTCTTGCAGTCTCTGAGAAGAGCTGGGCAGGACCACATCTTGGATGCTCACCACTGTCCAGGCTCTTGTGACTACTGCAGCTGCAGGGTCTTGTCTCAGGCCTACTCCCCCAGGTCCCACATGACACCCCCATAGTCTGTGGGGAAACAGGACTGGGAAGTGCCCCACTGCCCTTCTTAGATGGTGACAAAAGCAAAAGCTGAAGGCCACAGGGTTTGGTTGGCAAGGTCTCAGGCACAGTAGTATTTGAAGACTGGATCCAGGGAAGTGTAAGGAAAGGGTAAACAGGCAGATCTCTCAGAACCTGGCCCAGTGCCTCTGCGTTTCTGCTCACCAGAGCCTCTGGCCAATGGCAGGAGAGATTACATAATCACACAGACAAGCCAACTCTGTGCATGGCATTCAGCTGCCTTTCTCAGAGTTTGCTCTGTCCATTCATAAACAAAGGGGAAGGGTAGCAAGAACAGAAGATGCACGTGGACTCTACCATGGGTGCTGCCTAATGAACCTGCTCACTTACATAACCGTGTCGAGCAACTTTCTGTTACTGTGGCAAAAATACCTGAAAGAATCGACTTAAAAGCAGGCTCCAGCTAACTACTGGAGGGAAGAAGCGTGAGGCTGGCTCCCTGCCACTGGGGATGAGACAGCAATCTGATGTCACTGAGAAAGGCACAGGTGCTGAATTAGTAGTTCCCATTTCTTTCTTTCGTTCATCTAGGGTAAGACTGCCGGGAATCAGTAAATGTTCAGACGATAACTATTGCCTCCTTCCTTTTTACAGAGAGAGCCCCACTTTTGTTTGGCACTGTACCCCTACTCCCACATAGTTTAGATGCGTACCCCAATAATGTAACCTAGCACTGGGGGGAGTCCTAATCACTATGCCAGTACTATGTTTTAAATATCTGTGTTCCCATAAAAAATTCATGTTGAAACCTAATCCTCAGTGTAATGGCATGAGAAAGTGGGGTCTTCAAGAGTAGTAGGTAAGCCTTGAAGACTCAGCCTCCAGCCTCGTGAATAGAAAAGAGCAGTCAGATCCTTTTTGCCATTTGCTTATTTATCTGGTGTTGGGGGATTAAACCTAGGGATTCAGGCATGCTAGTCACGTGCTGTGCTACTGAGCTGTACCCCTAACTCCAGATGTTTACAATTCATAACAGTAGCAAAATTACAGTTATGAAGTAACAACAAAATAATTTTATGGTTGGGATCACCACCCTATGAGGAACTGTGTTAAAGGATCACAGCATTAGGAAGGTTGAGAACCACTCTTTTGTTCATGGCCATCTCAATTTGACCGACCTCAGATGACATTACCCCTTTACACACTCACACAGTACTTCTGACAAATATGGGGTGGGCTTACTTACCGAATGCTGCATGAACTGTCTCCACACCAATGCTAAGCTTGTGGTGTGAGTAACAATGGCTCTCACAGGCTCATATATTTGAATGCTTAGTCACCAAGGAGTGGAGCTGTTTGAAAGAATTAGGAGAATTAGGGGGTGTGGCCTTGTTGGAGTAAGGGTGTCACTGGGTTTTGAGGTTTCAAAAGCCCGTGCCTGGTCCAGTCTCTTTCTCTCTGCCTGCGGATCAGGATGTGGCTCTCAGATGTGGCTCTCAGATGTGGCTCCAGCACCATGTCCCCATCATGATGGTAACTGATGATATTGGACTAAAGCCTCCAGTTAAGGCTTTCTTTTATAAGTATTGCCTTGGTCATGGTGTCTCTTCACAGCAATAGAGTTAATACTACAATGTAATCCAATCCCGACTTTATCTACCCAAAGTTACCATCAACTTTCACCAACTGAAGGGCTCAGTCCCCAAGATTGACCCTATTTCAAATGAAAATTTCAAGTCCAGGTTTCCTGTATTCTGACGGATCAGCTATGTAAATTGGGTGCTCTTCTGACCTTCTCCTTGGGTTTAATAAGTTGCTAGAACTACTTATGAAACTCAAATAAGCATTTTCCTTTTGTTTACTGGCTTATTATAAAGATACAAATCAGGAACAGCCAGATGAAAGAGATGCATAGGGCAGAGAGAGGCTGGTGTCTGAAGTTCCCATCTCCTCTCTTGGCACATCACCTTCCCAGCACTTCACAGTATTCTCAAACCTGCAAGCTCATTACATCTTCTTATTCAAACAAACAAACAAACAAACCAAACCTCCCCTGCTCCCCTCTTTCCCCCTTAGGGGTAGGATTTAAGACAATATCTAATTATATATCCCAGACTGGTCTTGGAATCTCAATCTTACCTCACCTGCCTCAAGAGTTGTTATCTTGTTTTGTGTTTTTTTAATCTTTAGTTTCCTCTCCTTTCCAGAGGTCAGGGCATGGGGAATTTCTGACCCTTGTCATTTGGCTTTTCTATTGACTGGTTCCGTTCTGTGGCTGCTGAGGGCTTCAGACCTAACTCACATCACGAGCATGAACTCAAGTATGACCAGAATGGATCATTCCAAATAATAAGAGGTGGTCTCATCACTCAGGAAATTCCAAGGGTTTTAAACAGCTCAGCATCAGGAACCAGGGACAAGGACCAAATACAGTTCCAGTTACACAATCTGCCAAGCCCACCACTTGGTGTCCCCACCCTGCTTTTGCCTTGAGAATCATCTTATCCAGTCCCTTGCTGACTGGCTGGGCATAGGGGAACACAGCAATGTTCCTCTCATGGAACCTTGGTCATATGGCCATCAGATAATGATAAGGGATAATAAATAAGACTGTTAGTTTTCCTGACTGCACGACTGCCCTTTTCCCCGTGTGTTCTCAATGCCTCATGCATTCCTTTGTGAATTGTCCTCTGTAGTACCTAAAATGACTTGTGTCTTGAGGTTCTAAGAGGCTCTGTCTGGGCAAGCTCTTGGGAGTGGTAATCCCTTGTATTCACAGGTTCTGAATCCCTGAATTCAACTAACTGTAGATTGGAATACTAGAGAAAGAAATCATACTTGTGCTGAATATGAACACTTTCTGTCATTACTTCCTATAACAACTGTTCACACAGCACTTGCATTGTTATCAGGGTATTATAAGTAATATAAAGATGATTTAAAGTCTACAAGAGAATTCGTGTAGATTCTGTGCAAAAATCACACCATTTTATAAGGAGCCAGAGCACGTATAGGTTTTAGGATTCACACAATGTCCTGAAGCCAATCTCCTGGGGATACTTGAGGACAGCTGTGTTTTATTAGAGTATTACTTCATTACTTTCTTCACCATTCAGACTGGGAGTTGGGCTCATAGAGATAGAGCCCCAGGTACAGATCAGGCTGCATACAGGTAGCTCAGCTTCCATAGAGTGCCACACTCCAGAGCTGCCACTTCCAGCTTATGATTGGAAGCCATGTGATTAGGAAAGACTGTGCATGGAGAAAACCTGGACACCCTTTTGGTTAGAGATGAAGTATTAATCTTGGGCTTCCCTACAAGAGGTGATGAAGGGTGGTAGATTCAGGTGTAGGGCCAGTTTCTCCTGCAGTGGTCCCTATGGCTGCCATGGTTCCCCTTGAATAAAGTCTTCCTTAGTGATGGCTTAATGGCTGTCACTGAGCTTTTCATTTCTTATTTCCTTTAATGGAATATTTTATTTAATGGCATCCAAAAGATCAGGAAAAGCCTTGGCGCTCAAAAGAGTCTCACTTTTGAGAGCCGGTGATAGTTCATGAGAGGCAAGTATAGAATCTGATTGAGGCCTGCCATGGAGTGATCCCTCCTTGGTCTGTTGAATCTACAGTGAATATGGCATGCAAGTAAATGCCTGTGGGAAGAGCGAGTAAATAGATGGTGGTATCCTGTGATCCTAGCACTGGGGAACTGGGGAGGCAGAGTGGGAGGCAAGAGGGCATTGAGTTCAAGACAGTCTAGGATACACAGCAAGGCCCCGTCTCAAAGCACAAACAGGCTGGATATGGTAGTTCACACTTGTGGATGGGGATTGAGGCAGCTAGAGGAGCAGGAGCTCAAGGTCTTCCCCGGCTACATAAAGATCAAAGTCAGCCTAGGATACATGATATTCTGCCTCCAACAACTCATCTTGATTGGAGGCTACAAGGGTGGCTGGGTCTATCCTCCATCTAGGCCTTTCCGTTATGCTGACTCAGCAGAGCATGAGCGGGCATGGCATCAGGGGAGCTGCACCTTACTGCTAGGCCCCTCCACCCATCAAAATCAATACACAATTACATTACAGCCATACAAGAGTCTCACATATTGTGGGCCCTGGCCCCCCACTGTGAGTGGCTGCCGCCTTGCTTGCCAACCTTGACCAGATGTCCTCCCTATTCAGATTCCCTGCGGGTTTCCTTTTCACCTAACGTTCAACTGGAGGTTCTTTGTTCCTGTATCCTACATTTGGTGTAAACAACTTAGATGCAAGAATGTGGGGAACTTCTGCCCTCCGG